TTTTGATATATAAGTTGTTCGGGTTTTTTCATCTAAACAAAAAGCGACATTAATTTCTTGACGACCTAATATATAAGTGAGTAATAGCTAATGAAAAAAGGGCCAAGATAGCACTAAATGATATCAACTAATACTTTCAGGAATGTCATCATGACTCCATAACCTCATTAATGCAGCAGTACTTTTCAGCATGACTCAAAGGTTAACTGTCTTAATGCAGCAGTACCTTTCAGTGTCTTGATGTAGCAATATTTTGCAGCATGAGTCAAAGAATAACTGTCTTGATGCAGCAGCACTTTCAGCATGATTCAAAGGCTAACTGCCTTAAGTTACCAGTCGTTGGCTTATAGAAAGTTCACCAGTTCGAAAGGCCGCTCTAGTTCTTCGACTTGCTCTTGTCTGGGGTTAGTGATGAGGAAAGGATTCCCAAAATCGATCCATACCAGTGACAAGTAACGAATCGAAGAATATGTATTGGGCCCAGCGTTTCTTTCTCGCCGAAATATACAATTTAGATATACAAAAATTAAAACGTTAAGATGGTTAAATATTTTATAACTGTCTTAGTTCAGTGAATACTGTCCTGAATACGGATTTAACTCGTACAATAACTGTATAATGAAGTAATCGTTATCCAATATGTTAGTGTGAACAAAACACAGATGGCATATGTTAACATTTAACGTCAAACAGGCTAAAATTGATTTATTTAAATGATCATATTACATACTAAAAAGAAAGTAAAGCCCAAATGAAATATAAATTGATGTTGTAAATAACGCAAATAACCACTTAATTTGTTTAATTAGATACCAAACAAACAAATCATCTTATTGAAAATGGATATGCTTACATGCCAAGTAATGACGTCATTACTTTGTTGTTTCTAATACTGTACATGCACGATGTATTTCAGTTTAATCATGTTCAATGATCTACTTCTTGAAGTACTGTTTGGTATCTTATTATACATATATTTCAGGGAGGGTGCTATTCTAGAAGTACTGTTCTTGAAGTTCTATTTGGTATCTTATTAGACATATATTTTAGGAAGGGTGCTATTCTAGGAGCATCATTAGAGAAAGAACATTACCATTATCTTTATATAACAGTGGCAGAGTCATGATTATTTTGCATTTTATATTTCTTCATAAATCCGCAACAGAGTGTGACTGTAAGAATGTCTGTCCTTCCTCTTATTTTGTCCATGTTGAAGTTGCAACACCGGACAATGGCCTTAGGTGATCTCGTGCACACTAAAAGTAATTACGCACCTAAGATTGAGCAATTAGATCTCTGCTTCGAGCTAGTTTCCGGACGCTTGTGATATTATAACTACAGCGACCCATGAATTGCTATACTCCTACTTATTTCAGATGAAAGAAAGGAGATGAATTCAAGTATGCTGAATGAAGTTCTCCTTAATATTAAGTCCCCCCTATGAAACACATTCCTCAAAAATGTCTCTCGCTTTATCACCAGCTAGATTTAGTCACGGAGCGTTGCCAAAAAGGCGATATAGAAGACACTTAAAGGATAAAAAATATATTCCCTACCTTTTAACGTAGCTTTTTTGTTTTTCATTATGAGTCAAAGAAATTACCTCGTTCCCATTTCAACTATATAAATATGATTGTTTTATTTTTTCAGTATGTATGGGGCTTAACGTGGACGTAACATTTTATGAATATAAAGGGATTTAAAAAAGCATATAAAGGAGGACAACGTATCAATCAGAATAATTCACCTGATGAGAAAAATAACTGAATTATTAATTCAAGATCAAAGGTCGCAGTGTGTGATAGGAAGAGAAATGAAGAGTTTGATACACAGGTTATTAATAATATCTTCATGACATACGATGGAGCTTTAAGATACACTAGCATTCTGTGCCTGGCTCATAGTATAATGAACAAACCAGACTCTTCTCATCTGAATATTCCATTCTTTTTTTACGTCTGTCTGTGTTCGAACCGGTTAATCCACAAGGAATTTTCTGAGCTTACGAATAGTAATAAGTAAAGTCTTAATTCTGTCATTATATATTATCATCAGACATCGACAGAAATTTAATTTATATAGATAACATTAGAATAATGAAAATGGCGAATGACAACTCAGGCATAAACTTAATTGTTTCATACGTGTGTTTGGAGCCGACATTCTTCTTCAGGCGTCGATAAATCTCGATAACAATAATCAAAAAATACCGATGGAGTCCATACGCCATTGGCTTTTTTTAAATGCATTTTTATACTATTTACGTACCAAACTGCTTCTGGGGTTGTTCATTACCAGTTTTCTGATTGCATCTGATCACATACCAAAATGTAAACAAACAAAAGATACCATCAGTTTTTCAATTAATTCTACTGATTATTTCTGTGTCATCTTTGTGTTTTAGATAAAGAACGGGGGATTTCAAACCATTTTTATGCATTTTTCGCACTGAATGTTGTAACAAGCAGAACATAAAATTAGGTTATG